ACGCTCACAGGGGACATGGCTTTCAGCAGGGATAAAGGCAGTATATGTTTAAGTCTCTTCAAGCAGACAGGAGACTCAAGCATGAATCAGCTACCTTTCCCCAGCACCTTCTTTACACATGGGTACATAAAGACTGTACCACTGCAATCTGACAGCCACCAGGTTAGAAGGAAGCAGCACACCATGTTCCGTTTCTGAAGACTACCCAGAAATAGCCAAATCACTTTGAGACAAGATCACAGACAAAAAGTGCAGAGGAGCAGAGACTGAATCCAGATCTTCCATAGCATCAGCCAGTGCCTACAAAACCACTCTGCCTCTGAGCGCTCTGCCCCCTTGGGTCTTACAGTCTCCACAGGTTAAAAGGAATGTAACCCAGAAGCAAAACTAATGCAATGGAAAGGTGTACATCTGTCTACAGCCTCTTAACAGTTGTTTAACATTTCACAGGACAAACTGGCCACTAGCCCCAAGTTGTCACCCTCCTTTCCCAGCTGTTTATCCCTGCCCAGTCCCAACCCTGCAACAAGGTCCGCGTGACCAACCAGCTCAGCTCTACTAACTTCCAAGACTGAAGAATGCAGCATTAGAGCTGGATCCCCATCTGATGCACGTCACTCTAGCTGAAGTTGACCTTTCTGATATACCTCCTTCTCCAGTTTAAATTCATCTCTGCCGATTCCACCAAATCACAAGGCTTGTTTGCACCTCTCAGGGAATGCTATTGCCTTTGGCTCTATGGTCACCATTCAGGCATCTTTCTGTCACAGCACACCCTTTGCTCCACCATGGAAGGGGGATGTGGTGGCTGCTGCTGGCGTTGGGACTCAGGTCCTCCCAAGGAAGCCTTCCAGGATACTCTGCTCTGCAAATGCAGCTTGTCACGTTCACTGCTGGCACAGCAGCCTCTGCCGTCAATTTACACGGCATCAGGTCCTGGTGCATTTTAAAATATCCCCTCACCAGTCACTGTGTTCAACTCCATCCCCTCACAGAGCCACACCTAGAAGAAACAGCCAAGATCTGGGAAAAGACTAGGGAGAGCTCAGCTCCAGCATCCCTCCACTTGAGGAGGGATTTCAAGAATCTCCTCTTGCTGACAGACTGACAGAGGGAGAAGCTGTCAGCAGAACAAAGAAACAAAAGTTTCTCCATGACTTATCCCTGATAAATTATGTATTCCTAGCCACAATCATGAATAGGCTGCAAATAAACTTACCTTGGTTCCAGCTCTGGACATTTTCTGTTCCAGCCAAGCTCCCCAGTGCTGGAGGAATGTCAGAAGCTGTTACAAATCAGCCAGGATCCGAGGCACCCTTTTTATAATGGGCTTGTTTTAAACCAGACAGCCGCTTTGTCATGAGAATAGGATCCAAAAATTGAGTCAGTGATTCCGAGGCTATAGCCGGTTTCCAGAAAAGCAAACAGGATTATGGAATAAAGGCAGGCTTCGCCATCCTCCCTTTGTTACCATTTGCTGAGTCAGAACACCAAAACTCTGCCAAACGCAGTTAAAACACGCAGCCCCCTGCCAAGTCCTGGAGGACAGGGGGCCATTTGGCTGCTTTCTCCCTTTCAAGCATGTTAAACAAGAAGGCATCCTCACCAGCTCTAAAAGCCCATCCCCATTTGTAAGGAAGAGACACAATATTTATCAGAGAACGTTCCCACGCAGCAAAGGATGCAGCTAGAAAACGGTCAACACGTGCTCAGAGCAGACACCACAGGCTTGCAAAGAACAACCTCCACGTAGAGGCTCTGCTTCAAAAGCTCCCAATGGAAACATCTGTGTGGCAAAGAGGCTGTGTATTTTTATAGCACACCTTCAGCTTGAGCTATATTGCTCCAAATGGTGCCTGACAGAGGAAAACAAGTATGTCTGGCCACACACCTCCAAAGTGAGTGATTTCACACATCAAATAGTAAAGAATGTGCCCAAATTTCTGACAAAATCTGCCCATGTCACAAATTCAACTCAAAATTCTTACACCACTGTCTGAGGTTTGAGCAAAAGTCTTTCTTTTAGCCACACTCTGGCCCACTGAGTAGAGAGGGCGAGGATTGCTGGTTTATGTACACCCACACCCCACTGCCCGTGCATTATGAAAACACACCTCTGCAGCTATTCACTGCACCAGCCCAAAGGCTTAGTGAAACAAAGGGAAATGAATTTGGCACAGCAGTGCCTGAAACACACAGACCCTCTTTTCAAATCTGTCAGGACAAGCAGTCTCACAACAGCGGCTCTGCATGTCACCCCATGTACACTGCCGCAACTCTGCTAAATGCAGTCAGATATGACAGTCTGAGATGGACATGCTCAGCAGCTTCTCATCCTCTTTCCATTTTAGGTGTCTTGAACTGTCTAGTGCTGCTGCTTACAGCTCTTACTGCTAGAAAGCTGTGAGGCCGCTTGGAAATTTTTTTTTTTTTTTTAAATTCAAATGCTGTCTTATGAAGATCAGAGTCCAATCACAATCTAGGTCCTACTGAAAGGCAAGTCAGCAGGTTCACTAGGACATCTCAAAGCTCCACTGCGGTCACTTTGCACATACCTCCTTTAAAAGTCAGTTGAATATAATAAACTTGCCTTATATTGCATCACCTGCCCCCCCACAGGAGCCAAGAGAGACCTCCAGAAAAATTCTAGCATCACAACAGCTGTGTACACCAGAGCACTAAATGCCCCTGCCTTCCTCTTACTCTCAGGTTGGACAGCTCTTCACAAGTCACAGATGGCTGCTGCCCTCAGTCATCTATGCAACACCTTTGCCTATTTTGCCTAGCTTATTTAGGTGCTGAGCTACGAGCACGTCTCCCCAAGACAGGTTCCACTAGCACACAAGAATGGTACTCCTTCAAGTTGATACTCTTTACAAGAAATATTAAAGATAGGAAACAGTGTTTGTATCAAAAAGCCGTGCTAAGGCAGTCTTCAAAACCTTCAACTCCATGGCTTTTAATAAATTAGCACTTCTCTCTCAGCTGACCGGTTCACATTTCATTAAGCAGTAAAGATGTTGTGTCCCTCTAGCACCCACTGTACAGGTAAAACCTTTTCCCTAGGATGTGTGCCAGACTTATCTGAGAACTCAGTTTTATTGACATTTGTCAAAACAATGCAAACGTGTAAGAAAGTTAATTCCATAAAATCACATTGCTTAAGTGCCATCTTTGTATAAAAAATCCATTGAATTTCATTCATAAAAAAAAAATCAAACATTTCTTTTTCACATTTATAAAAACAGGGCAGCTGGCTCGTACCATAAAGATGCACGCGATGGCCAGGGCCCCGTGCCCAGCTCTGCACCAGGAAGGGCTCCTTTGCTGGATACTTGCACACCACAGACACTAACCATGATGACAACCTCCCCACTAAAGGATCTGCAACAAGCCGTACTTGTTCATCATCCTCTAGTGACATGCACTTTCTCAGTTACCAACAGAATAGTTACAGCACATTCCTAGGAAAGTGGTAGTGATGAGAAATCCTAAAGCAGACAAACAGTCCAATCCACGCCGAGGCTGGGCATCAGGTCCACATCAAGTATGTTCAGGCAGGATGGCTGCAAATTCTTAATGAGAACTGTTTTCAGTGTATGGCTGCTTGTTCCCAGAACTCTGTAACAAAATAGAGGAGCAAATTTCACTCCCAACACTAGCAAAGAAAAAGCAACTCAAAGACTAAAGACAAAGGAAAAAAACCCAACTTTCTAATGGTTTGAAACATGCAATGGCAGAAAGGCATGATAAGGGCTTGTCTCCAGCTCCTAAACCACTTCTACTTGGGAACAGAAAGACAATGCAAACTAAGAATTATTTGAAGTCTCACTTGATTCTCTTAAGCAAGAAGTGAGACAGGTACATACAGACATTAATACACATAGCCTCTTTGTAAAAGCAGCTGTTCAAATAAGTTTTTACATCAGATTATGTACAATATGCCTATCTGCCTTTAGAGACGGACACAGATGTCCCTGACAAATCAAACAGAACACCTGCAGAGAACAGGGGAGGTGCGGAGTACACAGGGAACAGATTCAAATTCAGAAGAGGTTTTGACTGCAAAATAAGAACTAAAACCAAATGCAAGACTCTTGGGAGAACGTCCACTGAACAGCCTCCTACTTCTTCCAGCTCTGCCTAGGCTGTGCATACAAACACGGGACAATTCTTCTAGGTAGAGAAGAATCAAGAGACACAGGCCTTCTACTCACCCTTCCTTTCCTTTTGCAGTAGAGGAACATGATGCTATCCTGCTGCTTGCTTGGAGCCTACTGCAGGAGGGACAAGGCTATCTAGCTGCTGACGGTTCCCTGTCTGAACCAGCCATTCATAGAATTTGTTTTCTACCAGCATCTGGAACTGTTTCCTCTGATCCCTGAAACCAAAAGAAGATCAGTAGGGAAGTGTGTAAAGGTCACATTTATTTATAGTATTATACTTCTAAACCTTGCCTTCACTACCAAAACAAGCCTCCATATATATCGGCTAAGAGCTGGGCTTGGTTCATGACCTGCCTGTACCAGGAAGAGGTTTTTACCACGTGAATATGACTATAATGAACCCCAAAAGCAGAACTCATCATGCAAACTTCCCCATCCCACTAGCACAGCAACCCTGCTCCACAGGGCTGCCTCTGCTTTACTCTTAAGAGCACAGATTAAAAACTGTCTGAAAAGGGAGAAAAAGAAGATTAGTAACCAGCATTTAACACTGAAGACACAAAATTCTGTTCTGACTGCATCTGAGAGGATGGAGATCAGGAAAAAAAATGTGCGTATAAACAGCACTCCTCATACAGTTCCCATTACTGGCAAATAACTTCTGGGGTGTTTTTGGTAAGACCAGCAATAACAGTGTATACCACTTAGCTCAGGCTCTCTGTCTCTGGCACTGGTTAGATGTCCAAGAGCAGTGCAGGCTCATGGCAGTATTTCTCCAGAACAGCATCCCAGCCATCTGGGATCAGCTCAGCTCCAGAATTTCTTAAGCCAAAGATGGCAGGAGTATTGAGTAACTCCTGCTGCACTTTTTTTCTTATGAGCTTATGCAATTCCTTTCGGAACCCACGTAAAACATGAACATTTTCAATACCTTGTGGAGATTTTATGTGGTTGTGCTTTGAACTCATTCCTAATTCGATGTGCTGATCCCATCCTGTACTGGGAAAAGCAGCAAATGAGCCCTATTCATTTTTGTGCCACTCTGTTTCAGAGAGGCTCAGCGTACCCAGACCCTTTATTCAAGTTAAAGGCTCTTCTTTGTACTGTTGCTTCCATTTGAGACATTCCCCAGAAACCAGGGTTCTAGGACAGAAACTAACCTAAATTCCTCCCCAGTGAACGTGAACACAAAGGCAGTCACTTCTTTCTTCTCTTAGGGTTTTATCTTCTCCAAGTGCTTTTTATATACCTTGATCTGCTACTGACCCTGAAAGACTTTGTCTGATATGCTCGGAAAATGAATAAACAGGATTTTATGCTTTTGCAAGTTGTTCCTCAAGCTGTCTTATTGGTCCCGTCTTATGGGGTTTTTACTTTCAGTCTGGCAGGATTTACATTCTTTTTTTGCCCCACTTTTCTCATTCAGACAACTTCAACTTCTTGAAAGATGTCTTCTTATTTCTAACATTCTCTTTCACCTCCCCATTCAAGCATGGCAGCTTTTTTCTTTCTACAAGCCTGATATCCTGTTTGCTCTAAGCTTCCTAGTTGTCTCCCTAGTTGTTTCCCTGCCTGCAGGAGACAGATATTTTACACTGTCAGCTCCCCAGTTTCTTTTCAGCAAGCTTCTAAACTTGGCACAGCTTTCCCCCTTTTATGAAATAAGTCACTCCAGTACCGAGCTCTTGCCTCCTGTGACTGCTGTAGAGGATGTTAAATCTAAGCTCATCATCCATATTGCCTCACATTTCTTTAACAGTAAGATTTTGACAGGCCAAACACCTTCACAAAACCCTGGGGTGAGAAGCAGCAGCCCTGGGAGGACAATGGCTGGAGGGGGAAAAGCACCTTAGATGAGGTTGACAGACACAACGGATGACTCTAGCACAAGGGCTGCAGTTATAACTTTCCTCTCTGCTGCCCTTCAAGACTCAAGGACTGAGAGTTTTGAAGGTTTTTACACCTCTGTCACCACCACTACTACTCAGCCACCCTCCACCTGTAGCAAAATCCTGTCCCTCCCAGTCTAGAGCTCTTTCAAACTGCAAGCTCCTCCATGCTCGGCACAGAGGTGCCTGGATTTCAGAAAGGAACAAGGGAAACAGAGGGAGCTCCCCCAAAACAAGGAACCATCAAATCGACTAGAACTCCTCAGTGTGGACAGTTTGACCCAGGAGGAGATTTTCATATTCTGTGTTCCCCACAGGATAAACCCCTCCGAGATCACTGCTTATCAGCACCCAGTTACATGCCCATTACAAGTCATCGACTGAGCACAGAACAGAAAGAAAATCTATACAGCTCAAGCGCAGCTTAGGAAACAAAAGTTGCTCTCATCTCTTCAGGCCTTTAAAATTTAATATCTGGCTTTCTATCCCCATTCTGTACTTGCAAAGGAAGCCAGGTCCTTCAGGTTGCTGCATCAAAATATTTCACAAAAAGATAAATGCAGCTGAATTGAAGTCAGAAGACATTTGTACCCTTGCCCGGTCTGGCTGGCTGCAGAAGAAAGCACATTGACAAAGGAAGCAAGGTGAACTTTTTCAGAACTCTGCAACAGGCACTGAGAAAGCAAACAGACGTGCGTCAGTACATAGGATGGGCTAGGACAGGCTTAGCTAGCACAGCAAAAGCTGGGCAGAGGATTCGATGTGATATGATAAAGAGGACTTTAAAAGCTACTGTCCACGAGGTGCTCTACTGTAATGGTCCACATGCACATTCTTAGCTCACCTCAGCAACGGATGGGACAGTATTTTAAAGCTTCAATCTCAATGTAAAGGTTGGGCTAAGAGTGAACACCAATCAGCTGCAGGCCAATAATTAATTGAGCTGTTGTCCAGGGTACGTGCCCAGATCTCGCCCACGGCAGCATGCGACACTGGAAGCAGAACAGAGACAGCAGACAGAGAGTACCCAGCATGAGGTAAGTTGTAAACTCTTATTGCCAGGGTGGATTCCTCACCTCAGCCCTCAACAGTATCTAGGCATGCTTCTCCTTGAGTCTTGCAAGCTAAGAAAATACAGTCATGACAAAGCACCTCCTTCAGAGTTAGGATTGTGAGCATTATTCTTCTCACTATATTAATAGCAAAGACCAGGATCCCAAGATTGTTAATTATTAATGCTCTAGAAATGGCTTGCAAGACATGGCTCATGCAAATTAACCCATTCTTAAAGCATTTTTGTTGAATCACATCAAATGAATCTTATGTTTGTATGTCTGAGCTGAGCTTCAACGCAGCTCACACGTTCCTGTCCAGATGCAGCACTCACTTGGTCAGGCCTGCCTCCTTCACAGTTTTCTGCCAGATCTGTACCTTCTGCTCTCGCTGACTCAGCGCCTTCTGATACATGTGGGGAAGCCCACCCGGCGTCTCCGTGGTGTCTCCTTCCATCTCAAAAGGAATCACGAAGGTGTAGAAGTCCGAGGGCGGCAGGAGGCGGAAGACACTCGTGTCACTGCTCTCCTTGCACACCAGCATGGGGCTGTCCCAGTAGTTTGGCAGAGTGGCCAAGCCCACCTGAGCCATGTGGTCTTCAAGCATTGGATAATGGGTGTGGAAAGGGGCAAAGCTGACTGCTTGGTTCCCCGAGAGGATGAGAGGCTGGGTAGGCGTGAGGATGTAAAAAGTACAGCCAGCGGTAGAAGAAAGGCACAAACGATGGCAAACCACAATGACCTTGACGTTGTCACAGCTGTGGACATGAACAGACGCCTGCACAGGACCAAGGATAAAAGTGCTATTCCGACACTTCTCGATGGTCACAGATCTGCGAAAGAACAAGAGAGTGAGGACACAGTGAGCAGGAAAGAGAAAAGGACTTTTTCACTGCTTAGTCCATCTAACAAGAACTTAGCGCTTGAACAAACTTGCTGAAAAGACATCTAGCTGTGTCCCAGAAGAACAAAAACTCACCGGAGAGGAGAGAGGAGATAAATGAAGGACTCGTTGCAGCGATGAATTCTTACATGAGCCCCCACCAGGGTGTCTGAGCTCTTGGCCAGCGTTTGCTTGTACACCTGACTCATTATCACCATGGGGAACACCTCAGGCACCACACAAGTATTGCAGGCAATCTTTGCTCTCCTGGTTGTTCCCTCAACTGCAAAATAAAGTTCATTAATGCATTTAAAATTGCAAAAAGCACAGAAAGCTTTTGTGATTGTGATTCCTACAGGGACACAGACATGATGGTTCACTGTCCACATCACTCAGCAATCCCTCAAGAAAATAATCAGCCCAAAACTTCAAGGGTGGTACCACCAAACTGCATCACTTCACACACGAGTCATACCATCCACTGATGCCTACTGGGCAGGTCAGCAGTACGTAGCAGTCAGAAGCTCCGTAAGTCAGGGCGCATTGAAAGATCAAAAACACTGCAAGGTTATTCAGGGGCAGCCAAAGCCTCCCACAAGCTACAGACAGCCCTGACCTAGGCATCTCCATTTCCAGAATTCTGTTCCCGAACACAAGACTTAGCTTGGCAGGAAGATCCTTAGGGCAAGTTTTATGTTGAAAGCAGGAACTGTACACTTTAAGACAGTGAAATGCTCCCTCTACAGTACAGTCCTTGAGCAACCTCACTGTCCTACCTAACGCACTGCCACTCTTATGATTGTGCAGTCACAGGAAACAAAACAGTCATCTGAATTTTTTTCTCATAAGGTGGAAGGTGCCTTGGCTCCACTGCCATGTCGCTGCAGGCGAGGGGCTGCAATTCAAGGCAAGGAAACCTAGATCAGTAATCAGCTTTGCCACAAACACATCACATTATCTATTCTCTGCATCCAGCTGTACATGAATAATGAGGATAGTAATACTGACCTCACTCAGAGGGGCCTCTGAAAATGAAGTCATTAATGTTTGCTCACAAAAGTGATCCAAGGACTGGAAAAATACACACAGATGTCATACAGCACCCTCTAGTCCCCCAGATGCCTCTAAGCTGTCATTTTGCCCATCTCCACTGACAGTAGGAGGAAAAGGAGGCAAGCCCCCACACCACTGCCAGATCACTGATCAGCAAGAGAAGCTGGGACTGGAAAGTTATTTCTAAAAGTAAAGGCAAGGCCTGCAGCTACCTTGCTGTGCCCACGCGAGCTTCTTCCCGGACTTGAGGCAGGCAGTCATTCCAAAAGGGTTCGTCATCAGGCAAGACCGCAGCCAGCTCTCTAGCTTGGGGAAAGAGAAGGCTTTGGAGACCTTTGAGTAGCCGTTCTGCCCGTGACAGGGCTGCCAGAGGGCAAGCTCATGCAGAGGATGGACCATCATGGATTTGTTCACGGTCCCTTCAATAAGAAAGCTGAGGGCACAGACAGCTTCATAGGACACCAAGCTACTGTGGGTGGCATGGGAGGAGGCAGTGAGCTGCTCCGGCTCCAGCAGCAGTTCCAGCATATCCGAGAGGTGGCTCTGCACAAAGGCGTGGTGGTCCTGATCATTCCAGTTCTTAGCAGGCAGAAAAACACAGAAGAACGAGGTGAGTTCTCGCAGAGCTGACAAGCTCCACCGACAGTATACAATGCATCCTTGCTTACACTTGTTCTAAAAGACGGAAAGCAAGTCAAACAGGGTACTCTCTCCTGCTCACCGCTTCTGCTGTTCTGCTCTTCCAAAACATTGAAGGGAAACTAGACTCATCAGCAACCTCCCCCCAAAAAGAAAAAAAAATTTCATTCTAACTCCAAGTATCAAATATTTCATTCTAGAAAGCAGAAACGGACTCTCCTACAACCTTTCCCACACAAATTCAGCCAGCTGCTGCTGGCAATTGAAGGTAGGAAACAAACCAATAACTGACAGTCAAGGTCTTGCAACTGCTCTATTGGAAAATCGCTGCATCTGTTCCAGACCTTCAGATATGATTAAGTGCTGCCTCCCAAGCCACTGCGGGGAAAAAGCAGAGGGTCATTTCTTCCTAGTGAGCGGACCAATAAACCAAACGACCTCTGAAAGAATCATTATTTCAAATTCTAAAGGGCTGCATACCAAAAAAAAAAAAAAGCGGAAGACTGGAAGGAATTATGGCAGACATTAATAAAGACAACCTTCGCTGGCCTGCGAATGGCAGAACAAGCAGTACTCGGCTGTGATTACACATTGGCCTCACCACCTGCATGGGCTGTAGCGCAAAGGGCGTAACAAGCAGCTGCGAGCATCCTGTCTAGCGGCTGGAGATCCCTGCCCTGTGACAGAGACCCTCTCACACCGGACAAGCCTCACTACACCATTTCAAAAGGGGACACGGTTCACATCAGGCATCGCTGAAGCTGGGGGAATCTCTCCCGATCGCACAGGGAAAAGTAACACCAGTGGCGACAGCTCCAGTCCTGCCAGGATCAAAACCTCTGGGAGGTGTACAGCAGCAGCCAAGATGCATCTCCTTCCTGTCCCGAGTTTTATGTAATGGCTACAGTTAAGGAAAACATCGGCTTTTAAATAACACTGGATGCTCCACAGCCACCCAACTCACAGCCCTGTACCAGTTCCTCTCATTTCTTTTTTCATTTGTTCAATCTTTCAGTATAAAGTTACCCAGTCTCTATTTTTCATTATTTCAGGTTGTCCCAAGCTACATTTCACTAGCTCATACAGCTCACAACATCATAGTCGGGACACAAATCCACTGAGGCTTGCAGCTGGCCTTTATAATGATGTTGCCAATCTGTAATTGACTCTCAAATACAGAGCTGCCCACAGGCTGCACCGGATACATCTAACTCACTTCTTTCAAAATACTTTATAGATTCTAAAAGGAAACATCAGCATTTCCACATGGTTGATCTACAGCTGACCAACCAACTCCCCTCTCTGAGATATAACTTAATGCTAGGGACCATCCTGGGATTCTAATACTCTACAGTGGATCAGGGGAAAGCAGCTCCAACATATGAAAAACTTCCCGTTTGGTTAATAGAAAAAGCAAAGAGGCAGTTCCTTCTTAAAAGAAAAATTGCCGAGACTCTGAGAGAACTCTCACAGTTGGTCTCAAGACTCTAGGAAATTCCTGTGGACAACTTTTGCTGGTAAAGCTGCAGACAATACACCAATTTCATTTAATCTACCATTGAGCAAACTACCTCCAATTTGACTCCAGCTTAGGCTTTACCGTAGGCAAGGTTATACCCTCCCAGGAACAAACCAGCCACTTTTCAACCCACCTCAAGGCAGGACTTTACCGTTTCCCACACAGCCGTTTCCCCCAGGGAGAATTCTCCAGCCACTAATACCTTATTCTCACTGGTGGATTTTCCGGTTAGGCTGGGAGACTTGGTCCTGGGGCTGGGCCATTCCTCCCCAATCAGGGACGTTCGCAGAGAGACCTTGTTCACCTGCTGGACGTACAGGAAGAGCAGGAACTGCAGAGTGTCTACCGACAGCTAGCCGAGAGGGGAGAAAAACAGGCATTAGGCTGGGCTGGGCTCTCCCCACGCCCGCTCGGCCCGGGATGGGGCTCCTGCCTTGCTCCGCTCCTGCTCCAGCTCGTCGGCGCTGGCGCACGCCGCCTCGGCCTCGGCCCACTCTAGGCGACGCGGCGGATCCCGCCGGAGGAGGCTGTGGAAGAGCTCGAAGTAGAGCCAGGCCAGGCCGCGGCCCAGCTGCAGCTTCCCGCAGGCGATGTGCCGCCATCGGGGCCACCACAGCCGCGGGAAGCAGCCCTCGGCCGCCCCCGCCCCCGGCGACGCCCCC